TTTAAAGTCAGTATTGTGAAGTCATATAAATGATGGCATTGATATATGAAACATGACCATCTTCTGTAATTTTATCAGGTGGTAGTTTAACAAATTAGCAAATTAATAAGATGTGAGGGATGATTTTCAGGTTGATTTAAAACAAAACTTCCTCTCCTCCACATTTGTTTGTGATGTGAGGTATAAATCTGGATTAGTCTCATATTTGAATAATCATAAATCAAAATAGGCAATGCCCCCTGTAGTGTCAACATTTAGGCAATTACTGGAAAAAATTGGAAAAAAAAACCTCTTAAGATCCATGAGATAACTGTGATCTCTCAGAAATAAAGCTTGTAATATGGTTCAAGAATTTTAACAACAGGGAGATAAAATTCCCCTTATTCTGTGTTAGCAACCATGGAAAGAGCAGAATTGATGAGTCTTTGAAATGTGTCAAATTCAAATTCAGCTTGCTAACCAAACACACTAAGAATTATATGTATGAAAACAATGGCCTGTTGAACATAACATGTGGTTTTGGTACATATGGATAAAAATAATTAACAAATATGCTCTACTTGTTTCTCTGATACTGAGGTGAAAGACAAAGTAGCTAAGAAAATCACATCCAGATAGTTACAGAACCAAATAAAAGTATTGTGATGCAAGCTATTTAAAGTATAGTTTCCCCAAATCTATTCAAATTACATCTTTAAACGAAGTGATTAAGAAGATAATGTTACTTGGTTCCCTCAAAAGTTCCAGTCTCTAGCCTGGTCAACTGCTCTAAGAAAGTTGGTTCTAACCTTTCTCTGATCCTTTAACCCTCCTCTCCATTTTTAGATTCTTACTAGCCTCTTTCAAAATTAGGTAAAATTTTGTTCCTAGAATAAATCCCCTACTCTAACATTCATAGCAGGTTCAATGCTTTGGTTGAACCCAAATATAATGTAGCAAATCTATAAAAATTTATAGTTTTAGAAGTAGACTATGTACAAATTTTAAAACATGGGGATGTGCTTTGCTTTAATTTTCTACCCATCTCTTCTCATCAGACACAGAAACACACAACAATTTTTTTTTAAAGAGTAATGCGCTTAGGAGCCAGAGTGAAATGAGAATTGATATAATGGTTGCTATTTAATACTGTTCAAAGGAAATCAGCAAATCATTCTTCATGCATATCATTCTGAATCAAAACGGAATTATATTACAGTCTTGTCTATACTCCTGTCAAGATTAGTAATCAAGATTGAACTACATCAGATTTAAAATTTCCTGTCTTCCGATGAATCAGTGTTCCTCAGACACATCTATGTCTCTTAATTTGTTAGCCCTACCTAATCTAATCATTTAATATTTCATTAATTTGCTTAAGCCTTTATTATGTATCTAGACAAGTATGATACCATGTTCTGGGTATTCACAAGTGAATAAAACATGCCACATTTCCTACCTTTAGACTCTGAATTTATGCTAATTTAGTACAAAAATTCCACCTCTTTCTGTTAGCACCCACGCTCTATGAAAACAAATTCAAACCTGTGAACATGTGGACATGTGAACCCTTCTCTGACTCCATAATCCATTTCTTCTTTTAAACCTTCTATATATCCTATGTCAAATTTGTAATAATGTGTTGCTTAGTTTATGGGTCTATCACAACTGTTAGTTTGAGCTTTCCTATGTATTAAATGAGATTATACTAATTTGGATGTGGTTCCCCAGAAGCCCAATAATCCTACATTTGTCTTTCTTAGCATGTTGCATACTGCACTGTATTGGATAATTAACTAGTCTGTCTCTATGATCTCTATGATAGGATGTTGAATACCTTAAAGTAAAAAAAAAAGAATAAAAATTTGACACTTGAAAGTCATCTTTAGTTTTGGACAAGAGTAACAAGATCATTCAATGGCAAAGATTAATTTTTTAGTTAGGCATGGTGGCCTCCCAGCACTGGGGAGTCAGCAGGAGGAGGACTGCCATATATGCAAGGCCAGCCTAATTTACATAATGAGTTTCTGGACAGCCAGGACATAGTGAAACTTTTTTTCAACCCCCCCCCCCCCCCCCCGCCCCAAATCATGAGTATCAACATCAAGAGCAAAACGATTAGATGTCAACAAAATTAAAAACTTACACATCAAAAGACATTGGCAATAAAATGAAAAAATAAATTATATATTTGATAGGGGTACAGTACCTAGAATAAAAAACTCTTACATATCAATAAAAAGATAAACAATTCAATTAAAAATAGCTAAAAGATCTGAATAAAAATTTCTGGAAAGAAAATATATAAACAGAAAATAAATACATGAAAATCTGCTCAACATTATTAATCATTACACAAATGTAAATCAGAACTGCAATGAGGCTTTTAATAGTAAGTATTGACAAGAATGTGGAGAAACTGAAAGACTACCATTGCTTATGGGTGAAAAATAATTCAGCTTCTGTGGAAAACAATTAGTAGTTCCTTAAAAAGCTGAATATAAAGTTTCCATCTGACCTTGCAATTGTAGTCTGAACTGTATACATAAATAAGTGCAAACAGACAGTCAGGTTACTGTAGATTACAACAGCACAAATGTCCATCAATTGATGACTGGATAAATAAATACTATATACATTCAGTAGAATATTATTGCAACAATAAGCCTAGGTATTGAACACGTCATAATATGGATAAACACACAAAATATTATGACAAGTGAAAGTAGCCAAATATAAAAGGTCATATTATATTATATCCACATAAATTATCAAGAAGAGATAAATCCCCAAAGACAGAATTGTAGTAGTTTTGTGGTTGTCATGGCTGGGAAGAGAAGGATAGAGAGAAATTACTTTACAGGTAAGGGTGAGGCTTGTTTCATTTTGGAGTGAAAAAATGTTGTAGAGCCAGACAGAGGTGGTAAGTGCGCTTTACAGTGAATATATGAAATGACATTGTTCGCCTAAAATAACCAATTTTATGTTATGTGGATTTCATTTCAGTAAAATTTTAAGAACATAAACACACACCGCCATATTTGCTAAATAAATAAAGAAGGAATTGGAGATGTATAACTGAGGTAAGGCTACATGGCTGTAAGTTGCCTGGGAATATACAGGTCATCTTTGTTGTTCATGTAATTTATAATTTCTAAGACATAATCACCTGTAAGTTTTATAAACTGGCAATCACTAGCTATAAAAACCTAAAAAAGAAAGATGAAGGAATTAGATGCTGATTGACATTATGTAACACTTAGAGATTAGGATTGGTAGTGGATAGTGTGCGGTATACCACCAAGATCCTCCTTTTAGGACAAAACCACATATTTAATAGCTGCTGAGCAAGTTACCCACAATTAGCTCCAAAATTGCACTCCTCCTCTGAACTTGATTAATGAGTGGCTATCCCTGCTTCTTCACCCACATGTAACTCTTCTGGGGGCCACATTTGATTACTTGTTGACAGTGCTATGTGCTACTGATAGCTATGGACAGCATGCTAATGAGTATGTCTTCAGGACCCAGAGAAGTAGAGAGATCACAGGTAAAATAGGCTGAGTGAGATGAGCACAAACAGGGGGGATCTACTGTCTTGTGAGAGGCTCAGGGAAGACTTCTGGGAAAACATGGTAAGACTTGGATGGTGGGTGGGGGACACAGGCAGTGAAGAGAGTTAAGAGAGTTTCAGGCAAAAGGAAGAGGAAAAGAAGACAAATCCACAGGTCTATGAAGCAGCAGCACAGAATCTACTCTAACAAGTAAAATTACATCTTATTATTTGGGTTTTTTGTTTCCTTCAAATTATTGATCTCTCTAGGCCCCAATTTCTTCATGTATACACACAGAAAACAGTTCTCAGCTTATAGCATTATTGGGAAAATTAAGTAACTCAGCTAAAGTGATAAGTACCACATAATCTATTATTAATGTCATTATTATTGTCAAAACATTGACAAATATTGGCAAAAAAGCAGAATAAAAGCAATCAGAGTTGCAAAATGAATATAACAAAGATGTCATACGATGTTTTAAATTAGACGTAGCAACAATCTATGATGGTGCACTATTAAGCAACAGAGGCTAGTGATTTACTCTTATATAATTCACACATTCTTCAAATCATAAAGATTTCCACTTTTACATTATGAAACTAGCCTTAATTGCTAGTACCTTCTTTCTAGAAAACAATCTCATGAGTAGCCAGGGTAAAGTGGCAGTGATTCTCTACAAATCTCAACAGTTCACATTAAGAATTATTTCTTTAAAACTGTTGTCTGTGACCATAGCTGCTTTCAGTTAAATCAAATAGAAAAAAGTAAAAATTAAAAGCCCAGAGCCAGAATTTCTTGCTATTCCCCTACTCTAACTTAATCATGACTTTATATAGTATTTATTACTCTTCTCCTTTTGTTATTGTAAGTACAAATGAGAGGCTTAAATAAATAAATAAATAAGTAAATAAAATACTTGATACTGAACATAATGGATTTTAAGTGAAAATGAGAATGTACCCTGTAACTTGAAGTGCATCTTTTCAGCAAATAGCAAGTTAAAAAAAAAAAAAGTGACATGGAGCTAGAAAGACAGCTCAGTGGTTAAGAGCACTGGCTATTCATGTAGAAAATTTGGGTTTGAATACCAGCACCCACATGGCAGCTAATATCCAATTGCAACTCCAGTTCCAAGGGATCCAATGCCCTTTTCTGACTTCCGTGTGCATTGCACAACATGGGTGCGCTTACATACACACAGGCAATACATTCATACACATAAAATAAAAATAATAAAATATTTTAAAAAATGACACAATCTTAAATTTGTAATAATTACAACATGACAGAGGTAGGACTTGCAGATTTCCAAGAAAAATCACCAGCTATAATCACAACATGTATTTCATATTTGTAATGAAAAGCAGAAACAATGCAAAAACATTTAAATTGAGCACTTTAAGATTAATACCTGTTCTAGCAACAAGATTAGAAAGTGTAGGACATTTCTCAACCATTTCCTACCTGCTGGCCATATTCCACTCAAGGGCTGGATTTTGGGAATTCCTTTCACTCTCTGTTAGCACCCCTCCAGTGCCACTTTCTTTCTCTGGTTTTAGTTGATCCCATTGTGCAGTACCAATATTAATGGACTGCAGGTCTATTTGGTATTGTCTATCTTCAATTTCAGATCCAGGATCTCGAAGAATTCCCAAGTTCAAGGCTCTCCTATAAAGGCAATGAAAAAGCAAACAAACGTTCTATGCATAATTTGCTTACAAATATAGTATCAGTATCCTATTTTCTTTCTGATTTGGTTACTGATTATGTGATTATATCACTGTGACCAAATATCTCAGCAAAACAACTTAGGGAAAGAAAGATTACTTCTGGTTCATGGTTTTCCCAAGTGTTAAATCATCTTGGGAAAGAGGGGTTAATTGAAACAGAAAGCTCAGCTCATCAAGGTCAGGAATCAGTAGAGATTCCCCTTGCTAGAGGGTTCGTTTTCTTTCACCTTTTATTCCACAAGCCTCCAGCATATGAGGTGGTGCTGCCTACTTTCAAGGTGGGTCTTCCTGCCTAAGTTAATTCTCTCTAGAAATGTTCTCATAGACACATCTAGAGACCTTTCTAATGTTCTATGTACTTGCCAATCCCCCAATTGACAATCAAATTAACAATCATATTACTTAAAAAAACCAGTTGAATCACATCTATGAGAAAAGTATTAGCAAGTTATCACAGACTATGATTTATAAAGGTGTATAAGCTTAAAATTACTATAATGATTTTTTACATTATCTTCAGCATTGTACTGTATTTCTAAATACTTCTCATACATGATTTTAGTTGTTGAGATATTTTTAGGTTTTATTATGACCATTTAAAAAAAAAAAAAAAACAGTTCAGAGAAGTTGAAAAATAGCCAAGCTACAAAACAAGTATGTGGAAAAACTACAAATAAAATTCAGGTTTCTCCCTCCGCAAAGCCTTCTCCAATACTAATCATACATATATTAGAATTTTGACATCTTATTAGGGAAGGTGATAACCAGGATATGGGGGTTCAAGACTCAAGTAAGACTTTTATGAAGAATTGTATAAAACTAAAAATAAGAAAATAGAATCTCTTAAATTTAAAACTCAGGCAGATTAAATCCAAGTGAAGTGCACTGAGAGAAATTGGAAGAAACAAAGGCATCTTATAGATAGACAAAAGGGGTAGGATATATAGTGAGAAGAGGGAAGAAACTTTATCAAAAATCCTAATTGAAGTTTGAGGGTGAAAATACAGAGAATAGAAAGATATAAACATTCCACTAAGTAGGGATTAGTTAAGACAAGGATTAGTAGCCTTGTAGGCCATTGAGGATGGAACTCTCCCTCATGGTCTGCTTTGAATCTTACATCCCATTCCCTGGTAACTTTAAACTGAACTAGTTATATTGTAATTATTGTACAGTTTTTTAAAAATATGTATTTTTAAAAAATATTTTATTATTTTTATTTTAGGTGTATGAGTCTATTGCCTACAATAGTGCAACCATGTTGTGCAATGCCAGTGGAGGTCAGCAGAGGACATCAAATCCCCTGGAAATGGAGTTATGGTCGGTTGTTAGCCACCATGTGGATGCTGGAACCTGGGTCCTCCGCAAGAGTGGTCAGTGCTCTTAACCACTGAGCCACCTCTCCAGCCCTTAAAATATATTTTAAGCATTTTTGCGGATTTCATACATGTCAGTCATATTTAGTCTCTCCTACCCCATCTGTACCCATTCCCCCACATCCTGAACACTGAACTTCATGTATTTGGTCATATAAGGCTTATCAAATCAAGTTTGTGTACCCAAATATTCATTGGTGTGAGTTCATCTACTGGATCCTGTTCAGCCTGTCTAGCATCATTCCCTTAAAGAATGATGCTAGACTCAACTCTCCCTCACCCAGCAGTGATCAGTTGCCAACAGTTCCTTGCCAAAGTTGTGGGCTCCTGTCCATTTTGAAACAGGCCCTTTCACATAGTTGTAAGAAAAAAGTGATAGAGAGATATGAAAGGTGTTGTAGGGGAGGGAGTGGGTGTGGATTTGATCAAAGCACCTAATAAGCATGTATGAAATTCTCAATAAAGTTTTTTTTAAAAAGAAAAAAAAAGTTTTGCATAGCTCACAATCTAGTGCCGGCCCGCCACCTGTTTCTCACCTCCCCTTTGGGCAGAGTGCATAGGGTTCGGTGGGGGACTAGGGGGAGGCATGGATGGGGGAGGGGGTCTGGATTTGAGTGGGAAATGTATGAAATTTAAAAAGCACAATAAAAAAGTTTTGTATAGTTTATAAAGTTTAAGTGGCCTGGACTAGGTGCAGCTTTGGACAATAAAGATGTGTGACCCAAAAGTTGAGCTTGCTTTGCAAAATGGCCATTTTACTCCCAATAAATGGAATACAGAAATTATGGAGTGGCACAGCCATCCACAGAAAACTGGGGTGTCTGCCTCAATCATGATAATGATAGATGTAGCTATAGATAGAGCTAAAGACAAAACAAGGGAGTGAAGAAGTTGTAACATTATAAAACCTTTAGTAAGTGTTAAGTAAAATAAATCATCCTATTCTGATTCTCTCCCCAGCCTCAGAATAAATTGTTAAATTGAAGTGAAATGCCTAGAAAGCTGCAAGAAGAGACTCAGGTACAGAGGTACACCTTAGGATCCAGAAAAACAAACCCAACAAACAAACACAGTAGAGAAACCACTGATCCTCAATGAATTCTATCCATGTTTCCATTAGCCTAAAGCTATTTTAATAGCATTCTTGTTAGGATATAATAAACATGTACTTTATAGGCTAAGAAAAAGTTTATTATGGAAAATTTAGGTCAATTAAAATATAATTTCGTCTTTATAAAAAATAATTTCTTCAACCATTTCGTAGCCACCTGAGAGATCAAAATCAGGAAGCATTAATGCATTTCTAGTTTATTTTCCCAAACATAAATTTCTATTTCAAACTACGAAAGTAGGATATTTGATGCTTTAGTTTGAACTAATGTGAAAATTATATTTTCAATTAGTTAACATGTAAAAAATTTGAGTTTGGTTTGATATCTCTCTAAAAAATTAATATAGGTATGTTTCAGACTTAGATAATAAAAAAATAAAACTTTAGTCTCATATTATGTTATTCCAAGAATTTATTTTCAATTTTTTTTTACAGAGAAAATATACCAGTACAAATCCACCCCATTTTCTGAAAAGCACTTGAAGATTTTCTACTTGAAATGTTCACTAGCCTTTATTCTTGTATTTTGAGACAGGGTCTCACCTTGTAGTCCTAGATGGCCTAGCACTCACTATGGAGACCAGGCTGGCCTCCAACTCACAGAGATCTGCCTGCCTCTGACTCTCTAGTCCTGGGATTAAAGTCATGAGCTACCACACCCAGCATAGTCATTAAGAGGGTAAAAACCACCCATGTTAGGTTTATGTAGTCTTAAATCCATTCTAATTATAATATACAATACTTGGGCTAGGCATGGTGGCTCATGCCTTTAGTCCCAGCACTCAGGAGACAGAGGCAGGTGGATCTCTGTGAG